CCTCGCGCTCTCCGAGGTGCTGAAGTCGTGGCCCGCGCGGCCCCCAGGGCTTGGCCTACTTTCACCCTAAATCACACACGGACTTCTCTGTCTCCTGCCCCTTCCGCAAAGCGCCCCTCCTCCCCTGCCTTTTCGGGCTCTGCTAGTAGGAGGGGGTGGGCCCAGCGTCCAGGTATCAGGTAACGAATTTCGGGACCAGGGACCTTGCGCCCTACTTGGTCCCCTGCAGCAGCCAAAGAAGGCGGACTGGAAAGGCGGCAAGTGGAAGAAGACAAAGGTGAGAAGGTGTCCCGAGCGCGCTCCTAGAACAGACAGGTTTGGAGTCTGGCCCCCCAAGTGAACAGGTGATGTGGTCTTGCATTAGTGACTTAACAATCCTAAGGTTTGCTTTTCTCATCTGGGAATGGGAACAATAATGGTTCCTCACGTGGTTGTTCTGGGGTTGAAATGTAATATTAATGTATTGTAAGGGAGGCTGAAAAGAGCCCATCTCCTGTGGAGTTCAGGTCACACCCCATCCTGTCCCCTTACCTTAAGGAGGCCCTCCTAAGGACTCTACCTAGAGGGTCTTCTCTCTAAAGATTGACCCAAGCCCCATTTCAGCCCCAAACAGCTACTAATGGTGAACTAAACCCTTCCTCGTGGCTTCTGCCTCAGCTTCTTTTCCATGTCCGACGTTCCCAGATTCCCCCCCTTTTCTCAACATCTCAACTGCAGCTCCTGCAGAGCATCCCTCTTTTGTACCCACAGACACCCTATAGCTAGCTGGCTTCTCATATTCTTTTTTTAAAATATATTTTTATTTCAGAGAGGATGGGAGAGGGAGAGAGAAACATCAATGATGAGGGAGAATCATTGATCAGCTGCCTCCTGCATGCCCCCAAGTGGGGATGGGATCGAACCAGCAACATAGGCATGTGACTGGTAATCAAACTGTGACTTCTGGTTCATAGGTCAATGTCAACCATTGACAGCCAGGCATGGCTTCTCACACTCTAAGACTCTGGGCCTTTCCTTCTACCCCCTCCCCACCCCCAGTTACCTTCTTGTGATTCTTTTGGTGTTTTTTGTTGTTGCTCCCTCCAGCACCTCTATCCATATCAGGTTTAGGCTGTGATTTGTTTCTTCCTGGTCTTCTCTCCCCTAAGGCTAGTTCTGCAAGTTCTGTCACAGAGCATGGATTGCTGGACATGCAGGCTGCTGGCCGAGGCCAGGGCCCCAGCTTTGGTGGGTCATAGAGCTGCTAGCCAAACCTCACTGGCTTCTCTGGCCACTCGAGACAACCAGACAGGTCCTGTCCTTCACCCCTCCCTGAAGAAGGGGCGGAGCAAACTGTTTCACAGCTTGTGGAACCCTGTTTACAAACCTGGACTGCCAACTGGTTAATCACCCCCTTTTCCTTCAATGTAGCACCCAGAAAAGAGCTGCAGGCACCAGGCCTTCAGCAAACAACCCCCAGCTCCAGCCCCAAGAACAGATACCCCATACATGGAGCCAAAGGCCTTGGTTTCCCTGCCCCAGGCCCAGAGGAATGGCCACTTTACCTTTCCTGCTATCGTGGCCCAGACTCCTTTCACTGTGCCCAAACAGTTACCACCTAATGCCATGGTGCCTGGCTTTTCCTCCCAGAAAAGCAATCTTACCATCACAACTAATGATTGTGTGTGTGTTTGTCTCAAATAGGGGGCATCTCAGGTTAGGGGTGTGTGTGTGTGTGTGTGTGTGTGTAGGAAAACTCCATCTTCCAGAACATTTTTCTCAGGAACAAAGGTATCCCTTGTTCTTAGCTCCCGAGGCTAAGCCAAGGCCACATTACATAGAAAGGAGAAGGGGGGAGAGAGGGAAGGGGGTCATCGGGGGCTTCAAAGCAGAGCCAAGAATGAAACAAGTCCCAGGGTCGAGTCCCTCCCTTTTTCCCTTCTCACTCTATGCAGGGCAGCTTGTGATATGCTTGGTCCTTGCCTGAGCCCCTTCCCACAGGAAGTTGGTGTGTGGGCTAATGTTCTCACTTCCATTGGTCACAGGAAAGCCCATGAACACTGCACAGAGAGGACCACTCTGGTCAGATGGCATGAGACAATCAGCATCCAGGCCCTGGTCTTGGCTGTGGGCAGATCTCGGCCACCTAACCAAAGCCAGAGGGCGTGCATCCCTTCTGCACCACACAGCTTTGGATTAGAGGTGGAGTTGAGGTAAAGGATGGACCAAGGGCCTGACTGATCCCCAGCCTGGGGGGTTTAAGCAGACCAAAGGCTGGGCCCATGCAGAGAGCACTCAGGAACCTCATCCTGGGCCTAGAGTGCTCCGTACCATCCTGGCTGATTGACCCCCAACACTGACAAAGATCTGGTGCTCCAATTGCTCACCTAGGAGTCTCCCCCTTCCACTCTCTCCCCAACCCCACCTCCCAGGAGCGGTGAGAGGCTCCTGGTTCCAGCAGAACCAAGATGGTCTGGCTTAAGGCTTCGCTCAGGCTCAGCCTTACTCTCCGTCCTTGGACCTCCCACAAGACTGACGACAGCACAGCTTTGCTCAGACAGGATCAGACGTTTATGAAACAAGTGAATGTTCACAAACTGTGGGAGAAACACACTTTCCCAGCAACAGAAAATCTCTATATAAAGTGCATTTAGCCTGTGACCATCTCTTCCCCTGCTGGCCCTTGGATCAGGATTTGGGGCAACGCTCTGCAACAGCCCCCAGGGACACCTGGGCCAGGAGAGGGGAGGCACAAAGCCATCACGGAACTCCAGGCCACTGGATACACCCTTTCCTCACCTCACTCTGCCCAGCTCCTGGAGTACACCACTCTATTCCACTGGGAATGGGCCAGCATACCAGGGATGATGAAGTAGGGGTACGTGGTCTGGCCAACTTATACCTTAGGGAAGAGAGCCATCATGAAATAGGCAGGAGAGGGGGCTCATCCTGATATGTGAAGGTGTTGCTAAATAAATATGACCTGGCACTAAGCCCTCTGTCCTTCTCAGTTTTTCAGACCAGCCCTTCCAGGCTTGCTCTAGTCCCCTTCTGGCAACAGTCCCCAGTTCTCTTTCCTCCTGGCTGGGGCTTAGGGAAAGGTTTCAGATACACACCGTCACCTGTGCCCTGCTCCCCCACAGGATACGGGACAGTTCTAGTGAGGGTGACATACATACAACAGTTGGACTCTAGAGGCAGCTCTTTGGCTGAGCGAATCTCAGGAAGAAGCCTGTCAGTGTGCTGGACAGCTAACGGGGCTGGGCCTGAGCCCAGGGTCTGGTCCCAGGACAGAGGACAGTGAGGGACAGGGCTGGGGCCCAGGGAGTTAACAGCTAGGAGGCTGGGAAAGGTCACAGGGAGGTAGAGGAGAGGGCCCAGAGGCCAGCTTAATGTTACATGTAAAGACAAAAATCCGGAGGAATTAGCCTCTCAGCTATGAGCTGGACAGCTAACGGGGCTGGGCCTGAGCCCAGGGTCTGGTCCCAGGACAGAGGACAGTGAGGGACAGGGCTGGGGCCCAGGGAGTTAACAGCTAGGAGGCTGGGAAAGGTCACAGGGAGGTAGAGGAGAAGGCCCAGAGGCCAGCTTAATGTTACATGTAAAGACAAAAATCCAGAGGAATTAGCCTCTCAGCTATGAGTGCACACGTGCGCGCGTGCGCGCGCACACACACACATGCACACACACTCATACTTTGTGGCTCAAGTACAGGCCACAGGGTGGAAAGAAGACTTGCTGCAGCTGACCAGTCCTTCTTTCCATTATTTTTCTCAAGACGGGCCTTCGACAGTGGGAGGCTGAGGTGGGAGGCACAGGCCACTCCTGGAATGTAAGGACTTTGTTTCTCTGGGTCAAGCCTCCCGCCTGCTGCTTCTGGTGTGTTGGATTGGTCTGCTGGGTGGGCTCTCTACTTAGACCTTAACCAACTGTGCCTGGCAGTCCCCACCCGAGTCCATCTGCCTGGGTCCTTGGCACCCAGCTCCCGGCAGGGCTAACATGGCAGCTTGGAAGCGGATCAGTCCTGGGCAGGCTGTGGAAGCCTGCAGAGCAGACTAGAATGGCTCCCCTGGATGGGTGTCAGCTGGCCTCAATGGCAGCATTGTGGTTCCTGGAGTGTGGCCAGAGGAGCCAGGAAGCTGGCCTCCTCCTGGTGGAGGCCCTGGGTCTCCATGGTCAGCTCTGAGGCTGGCTCTCAGCTTCTAGGGGAGGAGCAGTGAGAGCTGGGTTACTATTTCTAACCTTAGGTTGGGAGCCCCACAAGGTGGATGCACTTCCTAGGCTCCGTCTACAGTACCGGCCGTGCACACAGGTACTGGCGTACTTCTGTACGATGGAAAGTTTACAGATCTGCCCGCAGCCTTGTGCTCTGTCCTAGATGCCTGAGGGAGGGTCTGGAAGACCCAGTGACAGGGAATTTTTAAAAAAGAAAGAAACCAAGCCAGGGGACTGTGTCCAGGGTTAGGAGGAGCTCAGCAGGGCTCTGGCCGCCTCTAGAATCCCATGCTCTGGATAAGAGCCAGAAATGTTGCCCTCCTGCTCCTCAGTCTGATGTGAGGAGGGAGGGAGGGAGGAAGGGCTGGGGGAGGGGCAGATGCTGGAGTCCCAGCTATGGCCCTACTTTTCTGTTTAGACAAGGCAGCTGGCTCGCAGGGACAGGTGGTGGCTGAAAATCACAGCCCTGACCTCTAACCTGGTGTCTGAAGGCTGAGGTGAAGCTGCTACAGGTACCTCTCCAGCCCAGGCAGTGTTCAGAATTACAAGAGTGTAAACAGATGCATGCACACGCAAATAGGCACACACTCCTTCCTCTGCACACGCGCACACACACACGTTCGCTCGATCTGTCTATCAGCTTTTCTGCCGGTTGCTCTCTGCTGCCGTGGTGGCTGTTTGGGCACCCGGGCTTTGCTCACGGAGCCACAGCGCTGCAGCTGAAAGAGAAACACAAGTGTTAAAAGGAACATTCAGGAGGCTGCTCAGTTGCCCAGGGACACAAGCTCCTCTGTCTGCTGCTCTGGGGATGCTCAGACTGAGAACTGGGCCACAGAGCCCAGGGACAAGGTTGTTGCTGGGATGCCACTGGGTGCCTGAACACTTCCCCTCTGAGGAGGAGAAGAAGAAGGAAGAGGAGATGGAGGAAGAGAAGGCCATGTGAGGGTCATATGAGGCCTTTGGGATACTGCTCAGATATGAGAAGGGCAGTTTCTGAATCGAGGCAGAAGTGGCTGCTGCCAGAAATGGAGAGTCAGAAAAAAATGGCTCGAAGAGAAATCAGCTGGTGACAGTAATTTTGAAGATGAAGGCAATGGCTGTGTTTAGGAATTTCCACATATAGGTAACAGAACCCTGGTACTGTGCTAGAGGTTGAGGGGAGAAGAGAGGAGACACAAGGACTAGGCTGATGGACAACCTCCTGGACTATGAGGCAAGAAACAGGCACTGACCTCTACATCCCTGCAGTGTCACTGGGGATTACTGCCACAACCTCTCAGCTGGCTCGCTCCCGCCCCCATTTCCTCTGTGGGTCCCAGCCCAATGCCTGGTCCATCTTCCAAAAATGCCAGTTTTATCATTTCACTCTCCTGTTCCAAAAGCCTTTAGCTCCCAGAGAGTAAACCAAGAAATCACCCGCCTGACATTTAAGACACTCCATGATCTGATCCACCTATAACCTTATGTTCTTTTGAAATAATGATAACAATATCTATCTTCATTATCATTCTCCTCCTCATCATCATCATCATTGCTACCATTTCCTATGCAACATGTGTGTCTTATGCAACACTCCTGGCTGTGCACACTTCCTGGCTAAGAGAACCCAACTTTTGTTCAGTGGGTCATGGGCGTGGGCCTGGCAAAGACATGGATCATGGTTGGTCTACGTCAGTGAGTCTCAAAGTTCAGTCCAGAACAGCATCATCAACTGCTGGGAACTTGTCAGAAATGCAAATTCTAAGGTCCCGCCCCAAACCTACTGAATCAGAAACTCTGTGGGTGGGGCCCAGCAATCTGTGGCTTAACACATTCTCCAGAGGATTCCATTGCTCACTCAAGTTGAAAAGCCAATGGTCTAAACCAGTGGTTCCCAAACTTATTTGGCCTACCGCCCCCTTTCCAGAAAAAATATTACTCAGCCCCTGGAAATTAATTTTTTTTAAATTTTAATAGCAGTTACTCATCGCCCCCAAATGCACCTGTGGCCATCACCGCCCCCCTGGATCGCTGCAGCGCCCACCGGGGGGCGGTAGCGCCCACTTTGGGAATCACTGGAAACTAATCTGGACAAAAGCAGGATTGGGTGACTTTTTTACTTAGTTCTGGCTCTTGAGACCAATGTGAAACACCGGGGAGGGTATTCTGAGAAAGCTTCTATTTTCTTGATAAAATGAAGAGAGGCATCCACACTATATCACATTTATATGTCTTATGCTCCCCTTTCTCACACACCTGTTGGCAGCAATTTCATGCTGAATTTCAGGCTTACTGAGCAACCTTGATCTAGACATTTAACCTCTCTGTTCTTTGGTCTTCTCACCTAAAAGTCGGAATATCAGCCTGGCAAGTTTCAGATTTGTAAAATGGGATGAACTTTGCTTAGTATCACAGGGCTAAGAGATAACTGAGAGAGCGGTATCTAAGGCTGCTGGTGCTCCTAGAACAAGATAGCAAAAATCTGTCCACCAGCAAAGAGCCTGGTGGGGCAAAGAGCACAAACATCAAACACTTGCTGTCTCACCGCATTCAAGCCTGGATGCTCAAACCAGCAGGCCCTGCCCAGCCCTGAAGCAGAGGGGTTTGGGAATAAGAATCAATGGGCTCCATGGAGCCGATCACCCTCCAATCTCATGGTACATAAGGAACAGCCTGAGATGATGACTCAAAGAGGACAATAACTTACATTTCTCCAAGAAAGGCACAAAAGGCTCTTCCTGCTCTAGGGAAGGAGGAAGCAGGTTTGCTTTTTTAAAAAACAGCTTTCAGGAGGTTTCCAAGAAAGATGAATGCTAACAGGAAAGCACAGAGCCAATGCCATGAGAAAAGTGAGAATGGAGGAGTGGCTGTCAGAGGCACAGAAGAGGGGAGCTGGGGCACTAGTCCTTGGGGGGGCGGGGCGGGGCTGAGTGAGCCTCTCTTCTGAAGGCCAGTGCTGCCCTCCCCTGGCCTACCTACAGAACGCAGCCTATGGGGTGATGGCAGAGGGGCCTGGAGCATCCTCAGACCCTGCCACAGGGCCAGTTCTCCCACAGCTTCACATCCGGGTCTCTGCTTTCTTTTTGTTAGATTTGACTCACTTTGAAAAGTAGAAAGAGCCCCTCCTCCCCAATTTTCCCCCCTTAGCTGGCAAAGAAAGAGCTTTACTTTAAAATTTCCTTTTACATTTTAGAAGGTATAGAAGTCAGAATGGTAGAATTTTTTATCTGAAATCCTAAAAAATCATGCAGCTCCCTCCCACCAACTTTTAATCTAGTTTGCTGGGTTTTAGCCTTCAGTTAGAAGGGAAGTAGTTTTCCACACCTACCCCCACCTCTCTCCCACCTTCCCTCCTGAAGCTGAATGTCAGTAGCTGCCACTCACTCTCAGACATCCCTGCTCGTCAGCTCCGCGGCGGGCAACTCCGCCACCCTGGCCCGTTTGCTGAGTTCTTCACCAGGCGGCTCCTCAGCTGCTTCCAGTTTGCGCTTGGGGGATGCTGGGCCACTGGGGAGTGGTTTGGGGCCTGTGGGGAAGCAGATCAAAGTGTCACACAGGCTGTGTGTAGAGCCAAGATGACCTGAAACCATGTAGTGGTAGCTCTTTAGGGGCAGGAGCCTGTCACCAATGCAATGCGGCTCCTCAGGCCTAACCCCTGACCTGCCTTTCAGCAATGACCTCGCCTGGAAAGGTTCAAGGAGAGCACGACCAGGCCTGCTGGCAGCAGAGCCAGCTTTTGGGCCCCAAATCTCCGGGCTCCAGGCCTGATTTGGCCTGTCTGCTGTCCTTGCTCTGAAGGTGAGGAATTCCCTCTGCGACCCTGGATGTGCCTCCTGAAGCAGGAATGAGCAGTGCCCTGGCCCAGCCTTGCTGAGCAAACTAGAAAAGGCCCCGGAGTTCTTGCCAATCTCACCTCATGGATCTTCACCCCAGAGCCCAGGGAGGAAGATAAGAATGCGGCAAGTCTGTCTACTTCTCTCCTTTCCTGGCACCACTGGGCCATGCTGCCATCGCCTGCCGTCTAGCCTCCCTGTACTCACTCCTGCCCACACTGTCCCGCCACAGCAGGCAGAATGCGCTTTGTAAAACATAAATCAGATCACACCCCACCCTGCTGACCATCTGTCAGTGCCTTCTCAGTGTGTTGATGACAGAATCCGAATGCCCCTCATGGACACCAAGCCTACACAATGCTGCTCCTGCTACATCTCCTCCTCCTCTCTCTCATTCCAGCTCCTCACTGAGGACATGCCAGCCGCACTGGCCTCCCTACCGTTGTTTCTTGAATGGACTAAGCTTGTTCCTATCTTGTTCCTATTTCTTGCGTTTCCCTTTTCTGGGAATGCTCTTCTCTGTTCTTGGAAAGGCTGGCCCTGCTCACTACTTGATCCCTATTCAGAGATGTGCTCCCTGATTACTCCGCTCTAAGCTAACCCGCAGAAACCCCCCAGCCCCAGCCTCTCTCCTATCAGGTCACTCAATTTCCTTTTCCCAGAAGCACTGATATCTGAGATGATCTGGATGGCCCTTTACTCTGTCTGCCCCAAGGGCACTAGAAGCTCCACTGGGGCACAGGTTCATTCTGGCCTTTGTCATCAGCCCTCAGTGACGGAGCTGGTGGTGGTCCTGAGTGCCCTTGGGATGGGCAAGGCCGCAACAGGCCAGCTGCTACTCACCTGCACCGCTCATGCTCCCGGTCTGGCTCAAGCTGGGCTCTGCCACCGGGTTGCTGAGGTCTTCCATGCAGGACGGGACAGATGCCAGCAGACCTGGGAGAGGCAGGGGAGCCATCAAAATACACTCTCACAGGACTGCAGAGAGCTGCAGGGGTGAAAACAAGGTGGGGGGTTCTGGGCCATGACACTGAGGTTCCATCTCTCCCCTGACTACTCAGAGGCCTGATCCAGCCCAGCTGCAGTCAATGTAACAGCCTGGAAGACAGCACTCAGTCTCCCTGGACAAATATCTGGAAATCCCGCCCTTGGCCCCCCAGCCTACAGGTGCCGCCCTTCCTTTCAGTGACCTGGGGGCTGGCAGGGGAGTAGGGGCTCCTTACAGAGTCCCCGGTAGCGAGACAGCTGCTGGTAAATCTGCTTCATTCGCTCAATGTTGAGCCGGCTGGTCTCGGCATGGTTGACGATGGGCCGTGGGTAGTCCACACCGATGATGCACTTGGCTGCCTTCTGAATTGACTCTGGGGCATTCCAGGGCTCATAGATATATCGAGAGGGGAACCCCTTCAATTTGGGCAGGTATCGCCTGAAACACACACACCAGATAACCCATCAGAACACCAGACCCTCCGTCAAAGGGTCAAGGGTATCCCATCCTAGGAGGCCACAGTAGCCAGAGAGCTGGTCTACATCCTCACCTGATGTAGTCGCCACTGGGGTCCGTGCGGCGGCCGAAGCCCACAGGGCAGTAGCAGTGGAAGAACTGCTGGAAGAAGGCGCTGCAGGACAGCCACATCCAGCTGCCCGCGTTCACGCTGAAGTCTGCGTCCAGGAGCAGCTCATCAAACACCTAGATGGGCGGGTGGGACTTCAGCCGACCTGGGTACCGACTGCCATGGTTCTCCCCAAGCCACCACATGCCCCGTGGAGAAGAGCCAAAGCTCTTCTGCTGGACAGCCCCATCTAGGCCCTCTGCGCCTGCAAGGAGGACTTGGAGGGGATATCCTGGACCTAGGGATCCCACCCCATCCCCCAGCCCAGAGGGGGCTGCCCTTGGCCGGGCCCCACGGAGAGGCACTCACCCGGACCCCGCTCTCCCAGCTGACCCAGAGGTCCCCGCGGGTGAGGAAGCAGGCCACGGCGTGCCGGGCCAGGTGGTGGATCCAGCCCTCCTGCCTCAGTTGGGTCATGATGGCGTCAATCCAAGGGAAGCCTGTCTTGCCCTCGGCCCACTTGGCCAGGGCCTCAGGGTTGCGGTCCCAGGGGATCTGGATGCAGATGGGGTTCCCCTCCATGCGGTCAAACCTGGGGTTGTTGGTGGCTGCCGTGTAGAAAAACTCTCGCCACAGGAGTTGCCCAAACAGGGAGAGGGGGGGTGAGCTGTTCCGCTTCACCTGGGGTGGGAGGAACCGGGGACATAAATACTTGCCCAGCTCTCATCACGTGTCCCCAGACCTCTCCCACAAAGGAATTTGGAGCTACTATGAACCTGGTTGCTCCAAACTCCCTAGACATGTGAGGGACTATCCCCTCCCAAGCATGTCAACCAGCGGGCCTTGAGTTTGACATGCCTGTGATGCACACAGTGTGCCCACAGGCTTAACCCAGGCCCGGCTGTGCTCTGCTCTGAGCAATGAGAATGGCTGCGTAGAGGTGGGCAGTGGAAAAGGATATCACTGCCGAACTCCGCACTGGGAACCAAACTCCCCAGACTGGCTCATAATCCTCATCCTCAGGGGCCCCTGTGTGGCTCTGCTTTCTAGAATGTCAAAGGGACTTTCTCATCACCACGTATAAAAACTGCTCAGTCTAGATTTTGGTTACATAAGTTATATATAATAGACTGGATCTGGGGCCATGAGGAAATTAGAAGATCAGACCTCCAAGCAAATCATGATTTTCATAAAATCAGAAGATTCCCCACTAAACCATCAAAGCCACCCTGTGCCACAGAATCCTGCTATTGGCCAGGACGGGGCAATGTGAAACAACGCAGATGCTGAACAGTTGCTGTGCTGCCCACTCTCTGTCTGGGGGCACTACCGCAGGATCTGCCTACGGTCTGTATGGCACAACCTGCATGCAGCCCTCCAGGCCATCTCATTACCTGATGGGCAGCAGCCACTCCTGAACTTCCCCTTTTGATGCTCTGGACACAAGCCCAAGAGGGCCACTGTGCTCTTCGGCTGAGGATGGGCTCCAGCCTCGCCCTCCTGCCTCCCCTCGCCCCCTGCTCGCCCCTGTCCACCTGCTGCCAGCAGATCTGCCACCTCTATGGACACATTGAGTTTGGCTTTCTGCCTGTCCTGTTCTAGCTGGTAGCCTGATTTTATGTGGGTCAGCAGTTTGGGTTGTGCTCGGCTCCGCAGGTTCTTGAATGCGGACTCTTCCCCACCTTCTCTGACACAATGCTCACGTAAGCACCTCCAGGATCCACAACCCAGTCCCCACCCCCAGGACCAGAGGCAAGGCCCCTTTCTAGGGTGACTGAATGGCCTGGAAGGCCCTGATCCAAGCGGCTGCAACTGGGAGTGGACGGGCTGCCCTCACTGAGTGCTCACCTTTTTATACAGGTCCCACAGGCGGTAGTAGAAGAGGCGGCAGGAGAGGCAGCCAAAGCGCAGGTAGGGGCTGAGGCCTGTGGGGCTGGCCAGCAGGGAGTTGGCGTTCATTCGGGGTCTCTCATAGTTGGCAACCCAGGCCTGCATCGAAAGAGAAGGAGAAGAAAGGAAAGGCCTGATGTTACAGAGGAAAAAACGGAGGCACTAGGTGGTTAAGGGCACAGCACAGAAAGCCAGGAGCCAGGAGCCAGGACTTGAACACTGCACACATTTCACCCCTTCATGATAGTAGAATTTTCGATGGGACCACCATTAGGCCAACCAATGAGGCCCAAGTTCTTGTCCTGACTCTGCTATTTAACTTGTGGGATGATGGTGAACAAGTTTCATTCCTCAGCTACATATCTATTAAATGAGAACACATTTCCCACCTCCTGAGGATTAAATAAGATAACAGACATGAAAGAATTCTGTAGGCACAGAATGGTCTGTGATTAGAGGAAAGGAAAAGAGGCTTCCACTTTACAGAAAAAAATATCCCACTCATGTCACTGAGGTTGTGGCTGCATTGCGGCTACCCAGGGACCAAGTCTATAAAGGAGCTGCAGGGAGCAGGAAACGAGGAGCTGACTGCTCTGTCATGAGCACCCTGGTGCCAGGGTGGTGGGGGCCAGGTGCCAACGTTAAGGAGTGCCTCTGGGACCTTGGCCCCTCTCCTTCCCCTTGCCAATTCTCACTGCACTGGGAGGTGCGCCTTTGTTCTCTGTGTCCAAGCAAATAGAAATCCATGCCTTGAAGAGGACGCAGCAAGAGGTGGGGGGCACATACACACAAAATAATTAATCTCATGGACTTTCCTGATCCAATACCCTCTTAGGAAGGAGAACATGTCCACAGATGAAAGAAAGCAATCTAACAAAAGTTTTAGAATCACACAGAACGAGATCTTACTCTACCACTTACTATGTGACCTTAGGCAAGTTTCATAATCTCTCTAAGCCTTAATTTCCTAATCTACAAAATGGAGAGCTGAATACCTAGCTCATAGGGCTGTTGAAAGAGTAAAGGGGATAATGCAAGCAGGTACTTAACCCAGATGTGCTCAGCCTGGTGCCCAGCAGGTGGTAAGCACCCACGAAATGGCAGCTGCTGTTATTGCTGTCCTTGCTATGGCCAGCAGGAAGACTTTTTATTTTTCAACCACTTTGAGCTAAGAGGCACCAAGAGACATGAACATACCCCATACTCCCCACTGCATGGGTGCCAGCATCTGAAGCTCTGGGTCTCAGAGATGGGGACCATACCTTCCGTTCCAAGTGCTTGTCCAGGCGGGCCAGAGCTTCCGTCTCTCCTCCTTGCCAAACAGCTGGGCCAAGTCCTTCGGTGGGGAACCCTACAAGGGGAGGAGCAGGTCACAGGATTGGAGGTCAGCCTTGCCAGTGTTAGCTCAGCAGGTCTTGGCACATTGGTCTGCTCTTTGAGCTTTGCAAGAACTGAACTGTGGGTTCTTGATGCTACTGATGTTCCAGTGCTTTCTAGGTCATCCTGGTTCTCTTCCCACTGTGACTTTTCCCTCTCCTTTCCCTTGCCTTCCCTTCCCAGCTACCCTTCCTCCCAGGCAGATGAGACAATCCTGGACTACTCGCCCTTTCAGGTTCGCTGACAACAACTGCAGTATTCAGGTGAGAAAGCTAACTTTGTTCAGATAAAAAAAGGGGGGGGGGTTGGGGAGGAAGGGGAAAGGGAGAAAGGGTGTTGTAGTCAGTAACCCGAGAGACTGGGAGACCCTCCCCTTCAACAGAAGCAATCTTAGCTATCTTGGTATTGAAAGCCCACTGATGCCAGCACCAGACTGTGCCTACATCATTTGAGAGGGAAAAGTACAAAATACAGAAGCATGAACTAGAAACATTAGATTATTTATGAGTGGGAGGAAAAAAAAGAAAAAAAAAAGATTACTTATGAGTACAAACAGAAAAAAGACCAGAAGGACATATTCCAAAATTAACAGTGGTTATCTCTGAGTGATGGGAAATAGTGATTGATATCCCCATTTTCATTTCTCTGTATTTTCTAAATTGTCTATAATAACATGCATTACTTTGACAAAGAAAGAAAACACCAATAGGTATTTTACAAAAAAGGAGGCGCTGGCCTACGAGGCAGAAGCACGCACCCAGCTCCTCCAGGGAGGGCACGCCGTAGGTTTCGTCATGGTTCTCCTGGATCTCGGCCGGGCAGCTCTCCATCTGATGTCTGGTCACGGAGGCCACAGGTTTCTTGGGCAGCTCCATGCGGCTGATGATGGCCTGAAAGCGCTTGTAGGTAAGTGGTGGCTTCTGTCCGTTTAGCTCGATGATCCTGGGAATCCCAAAGCACACTTAGCGTCACTCACAAGGCCTTTCATTTCAGGTCCCTGCTCCCCGAGATAAGAAGAGCTCAGCCCTGGCTGGTTTGGCTCGCCCTAGCTGGTTTGGCTCAGTGGATAGAGTGTCGGCCTGCGGACTGAAAGGTCCCGGCTTCGACTCCAGTCAAGGGCACATGCCCCGGTTGCGGGCTCCATCCCCAGTAGGGGGTGTGCAGGAGGCAGTCGATCAATGATTCTCTCTCATCGTTGATGTTTCTATCTCTCTCCCTCTCCCTTCCTCTCTGAAATCAATAAAAATATTTTTTTTTTAAAAAAGAAGAAGAGCCCAGACTTCAAAGGCTTGGAGGGTGCCTTTCCTTATCTGCTCATAGGTCCTACCCCTAAGTAGGAAGGAGAGGCAAGAGCAGCTACGCCTCCATTTTACCGAGAGGGAAATGAAGCCAGGGAGCTGGAGCAGGTGCCTCAGGTAACGGAGCCAGGCAGGGCCAAGCTGGGACTCAGTCCCAGGTTCCCTGGTTGACTCAGTCCCCACTGGCCTTCTGGATACTCGACCTGGCGGTCCCAGCCAGGGGAATCCCCGTGGACCTTCTCTCTCACCGCAGAGTAAGCCTTTGATAAGGGCTGCAAATGTGTTCCTTTGTGGGACAATCATTTCCTTGTTGGCCCGCATTTTCTAGAACAAAGAGGTGCAGAACAGCCTCTCCTCCCTAAACCGGAGACTGGGGCTGGGGTTATTAATAGCAACAACTAATACTTAAAGGGTATTTTGCAGTTTACAAAGTATTTTTTCACGAACAAGAGAAACATAGCTGTACTCAGGTAATAAGAAAAGATATAGGAGAGTGGAGAATTGAGGCTGTTTATATAAAGATGAATTGGGATGGGTTACAGCCAGATGCCCGGGGCTATTGTTGGCCAAGAAGCAGCTTACGCAAACCGCCTGGCTGGGTGAGTTCATTTCTCAGTCCAGCTCTCTCTCCTCCTCTAGTGGAGATATGAGACTGGCTGCAGGCCCTGCAGTACCTCCCCACTCCTCCACACGTGGCAGGAGGAGGAGTTCCACACCCTGAGAGCTCAGCTCACGTGCAGAGCTGTGTGACCCACCTCCTGGCAGCTACCCACTGGGTTGGGGAGAGGGAGGTGGGGAGAAGCAGTGGCTGCCGGCTTGGCAGCAACAGCAACAGCAGCAGCAGGAGGGTGACAACTCTGCCAGGGCAGGGGAGGAAAGGGTTTCCTCCTCGAATCTCTGAAAGCACAGAGGCCTGTCCCCAGGGAAGGAGGCCACTCTAGTTATCAGCTCTCTGCAGGGATCTCTAAATGCCTGACCTGGAAAACCAGATAGTCGGGGGAGCCCAGGGAACTTGTACTGGGTACAGAAACTGGACGTCTAAGAATAGAGATCCTATGGGAGGGGTAACATTTAGGGTCCACTGAGGTCAGAGGGCAGCCTTTGAGGAGCAGGACTGGAGTGGGAGTATGAGGAGTGGATGGGACTGGAGCATATTAGGAGCAGGTCCGTGAAGACCTTCAGTGGGGATCCTCACCGCTCCATCTCTTGGGCCTAAAGAGCCTCTTTGCATCCAAGTCAGGTAAAGCTCTTTGTGACCTGTTCTACGAACCCAACTCTGGTCCATTTTCCTCCAGCTTCTAGAAAACTCCATACGTCATGTGTTAGGTGGCTCTATTGCTACACTGCCCTGAGTTCTGCTCAGCAAGGGCATAAATCACCAACTCCCACAATTGGTAACCTGCCCCTGGGCCTATCTCTTACCTGTCCAGGTCATAGAGAGTATGAGAGTTCTCAGTCACCACCTCCACACCGGCCTCCTTGGCCATCTTCATGATGGCGGCATCCCGCTCTTTCCCAAAGGGTTCAGAGTCATATTCAAAAGTCAAGCGGGTCACCCCCCATTCCTGTGGAGAGAGAATCTGTTACACTAAACACTGTGTGGGGAGGAGGGGGAAGCTGGGTACTGGGTGCTGGGCGCTCAGCTCCGTCCTGGGAAGGAACAGAGCAAGTCTGGAGACCTGTCAGAATGGGCTGCAGAACACACTGGGGACAGTGATTTGAACTGGAAAGTAAACCACCTGAGGTTCACAAGGTGTGAGGACAGGCCTTTGAGGTGAGGCAAACGGCACAGCACCATGGGGGCCTGAGGCTAGTGGTCTCTGCGGAGTCAGGAGAGGTGGGTAGCCCTGTGCACTTGCTGTGTCCTTGCGGTAGGAGAATGCGGCAGGAGGCTAGAAATACACTGCTTTCAGGGGAGCCCTGCCCCAGCAAGAGGCACTGACTCACTGGTGGAGACAGAGGAGGACGGGATTGCCTCCTCCCTCCTGCTCGGCAGGCCTTTCCCAGAGCTCCTCCCAGCCCTGCAAACTTCTGGCCTAGTTTTCTTGGCAGACCTGTACTATGTGTAGTGTCCTAATGGTTTCCACAGCAACACTCCTGAGGCCAGCAGCAAACAGCTAATAAACTCCAGCTCTCAGAGTCCGGAAGGAGGAACAAGCCTTAGTCCAGAGGTCACAGAAATCAAACCAGACAGGCCACATGTTAAAAAAGAAGGGAATTCTTTTCTAAGTATTTACTCTTTTTCTGATAGAAATTTCTAGATTTTCTAGCAATGTTGAAAGAAAGCTGGCCCTATGAAAGGTTGTACAGATAACCCACAGAGCATGCAACTAGCAAAAAGAAAACCATATTCTAACCAAAGTCTCTGGTCATGGTGTATTAAAACTGTCAACCCCTTGGGGCAAATGTCCTGCCATGCACAGGCTGGTCTGGTCCTGACTCAGTCCTGCCTGGGGTGTGGGTCCCGAGCAGGGCTGGTTATCCTTGTCCAAGGATAATAGCACTAAACATCTATGAAGCCCTTACTATGAGCCAAGTACCAGGCTTAGCAGTTCATACAGATTACATTGTTAAATACTCATTACCTTGTGGGTAACAGTAAAGTCCTATTAGATGACACCTTCTCCAAGAAGCCTTCCTTGACTTTCTCCTTCAATATGATTCTGCACCTTGACCTTTTCCATCACAGCATTTATTATATGGCAGTGAGGTTGCCCATTACCTGTCTGTTTAGAGTGTGAATTCTCAGAGCAGAAACCATGCTGTCTCATTCATCATTACACTAGTGCCTAGTATGGGGCGTAGTACATAGTAGAAGCTCAATCAATATACTTTGAATGACTGATGTGTGTCTCTGGGCTGTACTAGGTTGGCCTTGGCGGTGCTGGGAGAGAGGGGGGCAATGCAGAGAGAGAGAGATGAGTGGCAAATGTTTAATGGTGTGGATGTTAAGAACACAACTTAGAGTCACAGAGCCTGGGCTCGAATGCTAGACCACCACTTCCTAGCTTCATGACCGTAAAGTTATAGTTTCCTCAGGGAAACTATAGGAGGGATAGCAGCACTTCCCTCTTAGGGCTCTGTGAAAAATAAGTGAATTAACGTATGTAAAGCACTTACGTAAAACAGTGCCTGACTCATAGTCAGCCCTGAACGAAAGGTGGCTATTACCAGCACTGCGTGCTTTGTATATGTGCATTTGTGGGGAGGTGCAGGGAGGTGAAGTGAATGATGAAGTGTTTACTGAGCTGCCAAACCTTTCCTCCTGTCTTGTCCCCCAGAAAGAATAGGGAAGGAAGCTGGGTGGAGAGGGGCCTAAAAACAACAAGGGTGCTGAGGATGAGGGGAGACCACCCTAGAGCCCTCTGTCATGAGTACTTCTGCCTCTGTTTGGACTTTAAAATGAGCTTTATAAAGGGACTGGGGAAGAGGGGGAAGTGGGCTGGCTACTGATACAGCAAACAGGCCTGTATGGTACCCACATGAAGATGTGATCAGCCACTTACCCCAGGGGAAGCAGGGAAGCTCCCTCAGAAAGGCTGACTCTTTTCCCTATTAGCAGAGCAAAGAAAGACAGGAAACGCCCCTTGCTGAACAGGAAACCGCGCCCTCAGACTCCTGGCGTGGGAAGAGCCCTAATAAATCTTGCAGACTTGAGCCAAGGAAACATCCAGGGAAGCATCGGGGGTGGAATAACTTGCCACATCCCATGTCTGGACTGAGCTGGGAACTTTCCAGCAAGACACTGGTTACAGTGAATTTTTTCCTTAACACAGTTTCATTCTGTCTGCAAGCTGACCAGCCCTGACTGTTTCCATTTCCTTGGTCACAATATCATCTCATTTAGTTTGGGGGAAACCCGGGGAGCGGACTCTCACTGTCTTCTCTCGGACTGCACACTTACCTTGAACAGCCTTGGGAACACGTCCGCTGGCTGTCCTCGGACTACAAACAGGCGGGAGTTCAGTTTCCTTAAACTTGTGTCCAAATCTTCCAGCGACTGAAGTAGGAACCTGCAGAGCCCACAGAGGCCTTGTTAGTGGTAACATCATAAAGAGTTGCTCTCTCTCCTAACCAAGCAGGGAGATGCTGGCCCACTGTTTATGCCAAACAAGTAGCATCATTAGCACCAGGACCCAGAAGCCTAGGGTCTAGGTCAGCAGTGATATGGTCGGAGATCAACTGAAATCCTGGTTTTGCCACTTACTAGCCGCATGACTTTAGGCAGTTACTTAACCTCTTTAGCTCGTTTTCTAACCTGCAGTGTGCAGTTGATGTCAGTGCCTACCTAACATCAACTATAGAATTGCTAAGAAATGAAAATCAAATAATGCATGAAAACATATAGGACAGTGCCTGGCATAAAGAAAACCTGGGTTAAATGTGAGCTGCTTCTGCTCTTGTTTCTCTGTGATCAGAAATAAGTCACTTCTTCCCTCTCAGCCTCAGGCCCTGTGTGTAAATATACACTCATCACAGGGCTATGAGAATCAAAAGGGAGAACAGATGAGAAAACCATCAGAAAAACAAGTGCAATAGTGTGGTAGGGAAGGCTGAGGTCCTATTAGCAGAGTCGCATTAGCTCTGAGAAATCCTACCTACCCGGGTCCAACAGCTGCCCTGCCTTCTGCGGTCATGCTTTGGGCTGCGTGTCTGTCTACTGCCACAGCCCCACAGCCTGGGCGGGGTCCCCACTTCCCAGGGTTTTGTTTGGCAGGTGGTTCACTCTCCAGGGCTCTGGCCACCAGGTTCTCATCCAGAGGGAGAAGGCCTTAGAAGGTACCTCGCATGCTTTCGGGGATGGAGATTGGGTTGGGGTAGGGAACTCCACATACTCAAGTGACCTAGCCTGAGATCTGGATCATCAAGGGAAAGGGAAAGAAAATTAGCATTTGTTCATGCTTTCAGTGGTTTCAAGATTGTTTTATTATTTACTTTTATTAAAAATTTATTTATTGTTGTTAATCCTCGCCCGGGGATATTTTTTTCATTGATTTTTTTTTTTTTTTTTTTAGGGAGAGTGGGAGAGAGGGAAAGACAGAGTGAAACATCAATGAGACAGAAACACATCACTGGTTGCCTCCTGCACGTGCCCAGACCAGGGTCTGAGCTGGGGAGGAGCCTGCAACCAAGGTACATGCCCTTGACTGGAATGGAATCTAACCTGGGACCCTTTGGTCCACAGACCAAACCAGCTAGGGCTAAAGTTTTTTTATATGACCACAAAAATTTACTAGCTGTACAGCTAGGCAGAATCACCTTTCTGAGAAATTCCATCAATACATTTTATAATATGTGTTTCACTTTTAAAGAAAATGAAATTAACATTTTAAACAGATAGCTATTCATATAGTTCAAAGTTCAAGGCACAAAAGGATACAAAGTAAAAAGTTCCTCCTCCTGAATCCCTAGGAATTTAATTTCCCTCCCCAAAGGTGACCAATGTTATTATATGACTGCTTTGCATTGTAAGTGTGTTTTCTTTTTAATTCCCTCAACACATTTTAAAGGGAAATATTATCCTCACTTTAAAGATGAGGAAAATGAGACACAGAGAGGGTAATTACTAGTAATTTGCTTAAGATCACAATTATTAAGTGACGAAGCTGGGATTGGAGACTACCAGTCAAACTGTTTTCTTCTCTGTCCGCCATTTCTAAGGCTTCTTAGTGGCACAAACGCTGCTCCAGGGGCTGAGATTCTGCAGGCCCTCATGTGTTTGGAGTCCCTCTCTCTGACAAACACAAACTTGACTACAGGCATTCTACTGACATTCTGATCTTCCTCGGGAACTAAGCCCTGACAGGTCAGACTCCTGCTATCTACCCCTTAGCATCTCCCACCCATCTCTGACAACAATGGGAATCGCCAGATTTTATTCTGAGCACAGCAAAGCCCTGTGCCTCTGGGCCAGCACATCACATGCCCTAACTACAAACACGGCGACTGCTCCCAGGCTGCCAACTAGAACCCGCCTCCACTGCTGCCTCTGATGTCAGCAAGCAACACTCCCACAGGGTGAATGCCACAGGGCCACATTCCAGCAGGAGCTGAGTCCAAAGCATCAGACAGAGAGCATGCAGAGACGCTCCAAGGCAGTGATGGCGAACCTATGACACGCGTGTCAGAGGTGACACGCCAACTCATTTTTTTGGTTGATTTTTCTTTGTTAAATGGCATTGAAATATATAAAATAAATATCAAAAATATGTCTTTGTTTTACTATGGTTGTAAATATCAAAAAATTTCTATATGTGACATGGCACCAGAGTTAAGTTAGGGTTTTTCAAAATGCTGACACGCCGAGCTCAAAAGGTTCGCCATCACCGCTCCAAGGGCTTCTGATGGGAGACTGGCTGAATGGTGTGTATGCAAACCAAAAGCTCTGCCTCTGTGAATTTCTGTTTTTGAAAAGCTGACACCCTCAGAAAGGAAAGCTGAGAGACGAGTGACGCACTTGCATTGGCCTCCTCCCAAACCTCACCACTCCTCTCAGGAGGAAAATAAGAAAACCATGTACACAGCCTCATGCCACCTGAAACCTGGGCCCTGCCACACAGGAAGCCTAGAGATAACTGGTGACAAATTACACAATTACACAACCCCAGGACAGACTGTCCTCCATCTGGCTCACAGGAATGTCCTTGCCATGCACTTTGGGGGCCTCTTCCTTCACAGTGCACCAGGTCGCATAGGACTTCCACTTGAAGCTGTAGATAAGGCTGACATGCACAGTTGAAAGCTATCTTCTAGCGCCTTCTATAGAACTTTATTTCTAAACTTCATGTACTAAAAGAAGAGATTCCTTGCAATATCTCTTAAGTATAGATAACCCCATGAGAATCCTTTTCATCTTTGACAAGAGATATCTATAGCTGAGGCAAGGAGCCGAAGGCCCAACTCTGCCAATAATGATAATAATAGCAACAATGAACATTTAAGGAGCATTTACAATAAATGAAGCACTATTCTACTTGTTTTACATACACTGCCTCATTTTACAGATGAGGAAACAGGCACAAGAGAGATTAAGTAATTTGCCCAACTCACACCTAAATAAATGGCCGGAAGTCAAACCCAGGCAGGTGTGTCAGCATCTACCTTCTTAACCACCAGGCTCCGCTGCCTCTTGCCAGGACTCCCTGCCTGAGCACTGACGCTACGCCGCCCAGGACCTTTGCTCCCAGACCTTTGCTCCTCTGAGGATCAACATTGTGACCTACCCAGAAGCTTGGTGAAACGCAGACTCTCAAAAGCTCCATCCCAGACCTCCAGGATCAGATTCTGCATTGTAACAAGCTCCCTGGTAAATCCTTTGCACGTGAGAGTCTCAGAAGCACTGTTCCAGAAAACAGAACCTTACTCTTGGCTCTGTTTATAAGTTGACTTTCTTCTCTTCTCATTTGTTTCTACTAAACTTTCTCTCGTTGAGATCCTGGTTTCTGCCTCTGCTGTGGCATTCTAGAAGTATTCTTACTTCCAACTCCCTCTTTCCCCAAGCCCTGCAGGGCTCCTCCAGGAAGGAAGGCCTCGGGATGGCCCCCCCAGGAGGCAACAGGCCTCTAGGAGCCCCGGCCTTCAGGTAGCCAGAGAAAGAGAAGCCGCAGCTATAGCACCCGCTTCGAGGCTTGCCAAGTGACAGCTTTGCATAACACCAAAGGAGCCCCGAGCAGTGCTGCTGCTGGACAAATGCTCATTGGGGCAGGTGTGCGCACAGAAGCTTGGGCCTTTTGTGCTCCCCTAGAGCCCTTCTCTCCACCTGGCCAGTTTCTCTTTATTTCAATGAGGGGGTGCTCTAAAGAAAACTGGCCTGGGCTGTGGAGATGGCAGTGCTTGGGCTGGAAGCTCACCCTTGGCAGCTCCGAGCTGAGCTCACATGGCCAAAATTCAGGGCACACGGTCCTGTGTGAGCAGTTAAAGCTCACCCTTCAGATCAGACAACATGTGCAACTGAATTACATTACATAAATGCTCTGGAGCCAGGGGCAGACAGCACTGGAGAAAACCAAATTGGCCTTTCCAAGAATACAGAGAGGACCCTGTAATTCATGACTCCATGGGGCGAGCCCTTTAGATAAGACAGGCAGATCCTTGGGCTGAGAATGAGACAAGAAGATATTTAAGGAAGGCCTTCCTAGAGATGGCAGATTCTGTGCTGAGGAGTATTTTATTTGTTAATAGGAGAGAGGATGATAGTGAATTCTTTTTTTAGCCCAGGTCATCCTTGATCAAGTTTCTCTGCTTTCAAGCCAAGGTTATCTAACTACGATGATATCATAGGCTCACTCAACCTGGATAGAAAGAACATTAATAGACATTAATTTCTCCTAAGTAAGAGAGGGTATTAACCCCATAGAAAGGATAGCACAAACAACCCATATCATGGATTGATCCCTAAGTATCACGCAGGTAAAAATATATTTATTCTTTCCTAACTTCAAAGAGAAAGATGAAGATGAATCTTTTCATCTCTTTGGGGCAAATGAAAACATTTCCTCAGCAGCAGAACCTTAAAGTGACATGCTCAGTACCAGTGCAAACGGCTCAGATTTCCCAGCCACGGACGATGGCTCCCAGTCCCCTTCCTGCTGACTGAATTCTAGGGAGGAACCACCCACGTCGCTGACAGCCCAGTAGCATTAGGTCCCCGTGCTGGGGAGAGAGACACATTGTTCTCACCGGCATTCTCGGGCATTTGCAGTTTACATCCTTTATTAATTCTGAGCCCTGTGGGCTGACACTTTTTTTCTACCAACTCCCTCTATCCCAGAAGCCTCTGAACGCAGGTGCGGCACAGGGCCAGGGAGAAAACGGCTTAAATAAAAAGTGAGGGGAATTGCTGCATTAGGGAGAGAAGGGCCTATTTTGAGTACCTATTTTTAAGTCTAGAAGCTGCTCACACCCCATCTTTTTTCCCCTTTCTTTTGTTCTCACTGCAGTACCTCCTTCCAGATGCATGGCAAAGGGCTGCCATGGTTGGGTGATTCAGTTGGTTGGAGCATCATCCTGGACACCAAACGGTTTTGGGTTCAATCCCCGGCCGGGGCACGTAAAGGAAGCAACTAATAGATGTTTCTTTCCCCTCTCTCTCTGTCTCTCTCTCTGTCTCTTTCCCCTTTCATCTCTTTCTAAAATCAATAAACATACCCTCAGGTGAGGATTAAAAAATAAAAAGGCTATAAAGGACTTAGCCAACTAGTGCTCCACAAAAGAAAGTCCTGAGACACATACAGCTACAATTAGCTCATAAACTTCCCACTACCACCAAGGCAAGGAGTATGCTGGTCCTTTCCCTATACGAATAAATATACATATTTCTTGATTGCCTGTCTCGGTCTTCTTTTACTCTTAGAAAGTGCCATTCATGGTTATCTTAATCTGATTCATTTGCCCCAAAATGCTGTGAGGGAGGCAGTGTAGAAGGTGCAGGAGGACAATAGAGATCACAGATTGTGCCCACCCCCCCTAGCAGATGGTCCAGGGCCCACCCTTTCTACGGAGGCTTCTCAGAGGCAGCAGCTGAAGTGTTTGCAGAGCTAGGACGTCACGCTGCAGCACAATTCTCCCAGACCACTCCCAGATCCAGAAACAGCCACCGGAAGATTCACACACTGCAGTTATGCAGAGGTACTGCTGGCTCCATCACTCCCCCAACCCCCAACCATGCGCATAAAGCAGTCTGCAGCTCTGCCCTCCATCTGATTATGGGAGCAGAGAGTGTGGTTAGGTGGGAGTAGTAGGAGTGTTTCCAGGCCCAGGAGCAGTTACCATATTTGACTTGTTTTGTATTATTTCACTTGTTTCTTCTGAATGCCAAAACTAAAGCCTTCCTGCCAATGCACTGCGACATTTACCAGGTTGTCAGGCTCAGGTTTGTGGTTCTCTAGCCCAGTGCTTCTCAGGCCTTGCCCCACAGGAGAGCCTTAAAAACCCTAGTGCCCAGGCCATCACCTAGAACCGTGGTCGGCAAACTGCGGCTCGCGAGCCACATGCGGCTCTTTGGCTCCTTCAGTGTGGCTCTTCCTAAGCCTTAGGAGTACCCTAATTAAGTTAATAACAATGTACCTACCTATATAGTTTAAGTTAAAAAAATTTGGCTCTCAAAAGAAATTTCAATCGTTGTACTGTTGATATTTGGCTCTGTTGACTAATGAGTTTGCCGACCACTGGCTTAGAACAGTGAAGTCGGAGCTGGGGGAAGAAGGAGCCCAGGCATCTTTTAAGGATCCTCCAGTGATTCCCATGTGCAGCAAGACTGAGAACCACTGCGCTAGTTCATCCCCTATTTTTACTTATTTCATGACATTTAGTTCTACTAAATTACGGTTGTTTACTTGTCTTCCTCCATTAAAATGTCGGCTCCGGACTCTGGACACCACAATGCTTGTTCCCTGCTGTGTCCTAGTAGCATCTAGAGCAGTGACTGGTACTCATTAATTGCTCAAATAACATCTGCATTGCTGCTCAGCCTCTGACTTCAGGACTGGACTCGGGCATCAGCTGCTATACCCTTTTCTCTTTTCAGTGGCTGGAAAGCACAACCACAAAAGGGTGACCCACAAAAATCCATAAATACCGTATTCCTAGCAAATCTGAATTTAATTAACAAGTTTTTGTTGTTGATTTTTTTTGAAAAAGTACTTTTATTGGTTTCAGAGAGGAAGAGAGAGGGAGATAGAAACACCAATGCCGAGAGAGAATCATTGATTGGTTGACTGGTTGCCTCCTGCACCCAGGCATGTGTCCTTGACCAGAATTGAAACCAGGACCCTTCAGTCCACAGGCTAACACTCTATCCACACAGCTAGGGGCTGTTGTTGATTTTTAACCTCCACTACCACAAAGGAGCAGGCAGTCCTATGCAATGTCCCCCACAACCCAATAAAAGAAGAAACTGCTTTGTGACAATGTAACAAGCAGGTAGCCTTATTCTATTGACTCTGCTCTGGCTGGCACACTGCCACAAGAAGACAGGCAAAGTCTGAGGCCTGGTTTAATGTCCATGGTAGGGATGGCCATTTGAGGATGTTTGTCAAACCCAAGCTCCTATCTATGGAAACTGGAGCAGAGGCAGAGCAATAGAGCAGGTGAAAATGGTGTGGGCAGGCTCTCCATGGGACTAATTTTAGTCATTCCCTCTACATAAATGGGCAGGAGGGGGCATTTTATAGACCCACCTCGAGGAGCACTTACTCCCTTGGAAGGGCACACACCCTGGGAGGAAAGAATGGTGTGCTGAGAGCCACTGTATCCTGGGAATAACCCTGCCTATCAGTGCAACAGGGCCACCAGCAAACATCCCCCCCGAACAATGCAAACAAACCAGATGACTTTAAAGAGAGACTGGTACACGGTGTCTCAACACTCCTTGGTTTTCAACACTGGTTACAGGGAAAATACATCTACCTCAGTTACTCCTTTCCCATGATTCTGTGGAGTCATCAAAGAGGGCCTTTGATATCAGCTTTGCTGCTCCCTAATCTTTGCAATCAGTTGTTAAAAAGCTAATCCATAGTGGCTTAGCTGTCCTTTAAAATCAATCTAATAAGGAGACGCAGGAGAAAGTGATACTTTGTTTGGTTCCCTTTTTTTTTTTTTTTTTTAATCCTCACCCAAGGATATTTTTTCCATTGATTTCTAGAGAGAGTGCAAGGAAGGAGGGGGGAAGCGGGGGAGGAAAGAGGGGAGGGGAGGGAGGGAGGGAGAGGGACAGAGAGAGAGAGAAACATCGATGTGTCACACATCAATTGCTTGCCCCCTCTGCACGCGCCCCTACCTGGGCTGGGGAACCTGCAACCGAAGTTCATTTGTGCCCTTGACCAGGAATCGAACCTGAGACCCTTTGGTCGGAGGGCCGAAGCTCTAACTACTGAGCGACCGGCCAGGACTGGTTCCTTTTTTTCCCTTTTCTTTTCTTCTAGCAACCTCCTACTGCTCTCAAGCTCAGGACACACTGTGCCTCTAACTGAGCATGCCCTTGAGTTGTTTATAATAAAGGGGAGACCGGCACTGGCCCTATTTAATGCTAAGCCAGAGTCTCTAGATCAGTGGTTCTCAACTTTGGCTGCACATTAGAATCACCTGGGAATCTTTTTAAAATCCTGATTTCTGGGCCTCATCCTCCGGAAATTCTGTTTCTTTGTTATGGGGTGGGGCCACAACATTAGTAACAAAGAAACAGAATTTCCAGAGGATGAGGCCCAGAAATCAGGATTTTAAAAAGATTCCCAGGTGATTCTAATGTGCAGCCAAAGTTGAGAACCACTGCTCTAGACACCTTCAGCGGCAGGACAGTCTTGGGGGAAGGAAGCCAGGATGGTGAAAGGACAGATTCAAACAATCCAGAGGCTTGGAAATGACCGCCAGGAGTCCAGCAATGGGCTCTCTACTTGAAGAATGCAATCATCTTTGTGCCATAGATTCAGAGACCCGACCCAACCCTCACCCCGTAATTCATATCTCCTTTCCTCCCCTCCCTGGGCACCAAGAGCCCCGTGACCCTCACTGGCTACAGGACCTTGGGCAGGTAACTCCGTGTCTCTGAGGCTTAAGGTCTCATCTGCACAACGGGGATCATGACCCCTGTCCCGCAGGAGTGTCTGCGGCCCAGAGAGGAGGACACACAGTGCGGAAGCACTTGTCGGAGGTCCAGCCCTGGGCCGCCCGGGCCATCGGTGCGATGACCAACTGCTTCCCGGTCCCGGGTTCTTCTCTGGAGACCGGCTCCATCTCCCGGCCCCACCTCCCCCAGGTGGGGTCTCCCGGCCGGCCGTGGGAACTGGCGGGCAGGACCTCTCCCTCCTGGGGAGCCCCAGAGGCTAGGCTGCGTCCCTCCGAGCCCGCGACCCCACCCGGGGCCCCCTCACCTCCATCTATTGATCCCGACCGAGGAGGAGGCCGCGAACCAAGGGTCGAGGATGTAAACGCAGCGCACACAGCGCGCCCCGCGCACTGCCGCCAGCAGCGCCGGGTTGTCGTGGAGCCGAAGCCCCTTGCGGAAC